ATGATTTTGTTGAAAATGCAGGAGTTAATAGCCTTAAAGGTCATTGTTCATGCACAAACAAATATATGGAACCATACCTACTATTAAATATTTGTAATTTTTGGTCCAACTTTTTTAGAGCATTCGGACCATATTTTAGTAGAAGAAACTAAATCAAGAAAAAGAGAAAAATAAAATCCCATTTTCAATTTGCATAGGGACTCAAGTATTATTATTATTATTATTATTATTATTATTATTATTATTTGGTAACCAGTGTGGACTCAAGTTTACATTAACTAGATCCTCTTTGGTGTCATTTTTGTCCTCTATTAATATAAAAACTTTACATTTGTGATTGCAATAATTTTAAATCAAAAATACAACAACTATGTAAATGCGTTATAATATTGTAGCATAATATTATATATTGTATAGACGTTGTATCATCAATGTAAACGTGTCACATAATGTAATACCCCTAATTTTAAAAAGGATAGTCCTGGTATTTATTTTATTATTTCAATTGCATTTTTAATTGTTGACGGCATATGTGTTAATTTTATTGATTTAATTATGGTTAATTAGTTAATTGTTTTCATTGTTGTGATTTAATTGAATTTACTTATTTAATTGTCCTAATTTAATTGATTTAATTATAGTTAATTATTTGGTTGTTTTAATTGAATTAATTTACTTAAATTTAATGGTTTAACTGTTTAATTGATTTGTTTAAATGGGCTTGTTTTAATTAAATGTAATTATGTTTTCAACGTGACTGATATATAGTTGTACATTAGGTTTATAGCCGACATTGATATTAACCTAGATTTCTTTATGGGCCGAGCAAATCCAGTTAGGGTTTAAGAGAGCCTAGGATTAGTGTAGCCTATAAATATTCACCTAAGTTGTCTGCTTAGGGTTGTAGAATAAAATTTCGACATAGTAAGGTTGAGAGAAGTTTTGGAGACGGCTGGGAAGAAAACAAAGAACAAACAAAGGATTCGCCAGAGAATTGAGATGGACGTCGATGCAAGGCAAGTTCTATCCTTACTCTCTCCCTTAGGCTTCGCGTTCTTTGCATTCTTAAACAGTTCTATGATTGATTGAATCAATGAAAAACGTTTTTTGTTGTGCTAAACTTGAAAAATAGCAGTATGTTTTTATGCTTTGTAAAACTGTTAACACATGTTGTTTGCTTGCATGAATCTCTGTTTAAAGCTATATATGTAACGTAAACTGAACTTAAACATATACTGAGAACACACTGGGGTTTGGTTATAGTGTCTGGAATCCATAGCGGTGAGGGTTAAAGGATGCAGAAAACGTTGGAGAAGAGGAGACGAGGCAAAAAGGGAGAGAGCCGGCTCTCCCTTGGAGAGAGCCGGCTCCCTTTTGATGGGAGGCAGATCCCAAGGTGTGGGAGCCGGCTCCAAGGGCAAAGGAGCTGGCTCCACACTTGTTGGAGCAGGCTCTTGCTCCAATTTTTCTTTTTATTTCGTTTTCCAGTCAGTTTTTCATGCAGTGGATGGTTTTGGAATTTTTCAGATGAGTTTAGGACTGAATGTGGAAAGTTTAGAAGAGGCTCATCTCTGGGTTAAGGTTCCAGAAGGAGTGTTAATTAATTTATTCACTTAGAATAGCTTGGATAGTAAAGGACTTGATCAAATAATTACACTATGTTTAGAGTTGAAATACTTGCAGTGTTTAGTTCTCTGCATTAGTAATTTTCTGAGATGAACAATAAAATTAGAACATATTTGAACATATTTCACCATATACCATGGTCATGTATCTGAATTATACATGTGTAGGATGTGTTAGCGTTGAATGATATTAAGTTTTAAACTTAACATTAACGGGATTTTTTGTGAAACAACCTAAACTAAGCATGTCTATATACATACTGTATTTTTGTTTTGATGCTTCCACTATTACTGTTAGTATTAACTGTTGGAGGTATGGACTTCGTTGATGTTTATTCTAAATGTCTGTAATATCAACTACAGAGTGTTGAATGATATTTTGAATTAATCTTGTCACTATATCAGATCTTATGGAACAACCTAAACTGAGCATGTTTACGTATATAGTTTAACTATGCTTATTGATGCTTACCTGATGACTGTTAGCATCAGTGACGGATGTATGGATTTAGTTGATATTTACTTTAAGTGCCAGTGTTATCAACTGCTAGATGGTTGGGTAGTATACACCGGTATAGGACGGTGGTATACTAGGGACGGTTTAGTTTCAAAATACCAAAACCTACCTATTCGGGATTAAGAATTGGATTAACTAAAAGTTAAGTCCTATTGATTGTAGTGTCATGACAACGACTAGTTGAGCGGCACTACTAGGATATAGGATGCATTTTAAATATATTGTTATGGTACCTCGATATGAGCTTGACTCTCAGGATCAACGGTTAGGGAGCGTTTATGCATTGGGATGTATAGTTGGATACGATGGTTGGAAGTGTACCCTGTTTAGGCTTAGGTACACATGCCCACTTCGTGTGCGTTTTAGCATGTTACCTCTATTCAGGTTAAGACCGGCCTGTAGTCTAGTGAGAGTTCTTTAGTGTAACTATTTATATATTTACGGACTATTAGCTGTTGTTGAATTGTTTAGGATGTACATGCGTATCGGACCTCTATGTGGATTGTAGTAGTATAGAATATGCGTGTGGGCCTGACCCACTTCTATTTTTCAGGTACACGACAATTCCAGACTTAGACGTATTCGTGCTGAGCAGAGGTTTCTACTCAATCTACCGACGACGTAGGACTTCTCTTCATAGCTTATATCAAGATGTTCTTTCAGTTGTTTTATTTTAGTTTGGATTTTTATTAGGGGTCCACTAGAGATGGATTCCCGAGTTGTTTAATCTATTGGAGGTTTTGGATTATTGGGATTTAAGTATTTATCTTTAAAGGATTTTATTTTAGTTTCTTTCAGTTTTTAATATTTATTCTTATTTCACTTTGTCATCTGTGTTCGTTTTTAAAATATTGATTGTTTGACATTTCTCTCGGGTTTGGGCCTGGGCCTGATCATCCCGTGTCTCGAATTTGAGAGGTATCACACATAATTTTTTAAAAGTTGTTGCATGTGTATTACAATTTTGTAATATAACTCTGTTACACCAATACCTACGATGAGCACACAGAATCTCCTACACTGGAGAGGATTTGGGTTATTTGATTCAAAGCCAAGATCAAAGTTTTATCTTTACTTCGACTTGTTTTTACCTAATGCATGTGGTCAAATATTTTTATTTTTATTTTTGTTGTTGATCAAAGTGCATCTAGCCCAATGGTTTAGCATCCCTATACTCGTAGAGGAGGAACGAACTTCAGCTTGAGTAAAAGTGTATGTTGTTTGCTTTAACATTTAAATAAACTAAAAAAATAATAATGTTTGTTAATTAGATGCATGGTTAAAAATTTAGGACCAATTACATAAAATTCCTCTTAAATTTTTTTTTTTTTAAGAACATGTCTACGATTAAAAAACGAAATCCCAAAAACTTACACCCCGGATCATGCCAACGCCGCCCTGGCACTACTAAGTGCATAGGTGATAAACCTCAAAATGAACATCACCTCCTGTTTCATCATATCCATGTAAGTACAAACGCCTTCTAATTTCCGAACTTACTGAGAAGTATGGGAAAAAAATAATTACATATATTATAAATTCAGAACAAAACAAAAGGACGTTAAAAATGCAGCCTAAAAGAACAAGTCACAAAAGCCAAGACTTGAAGTGAGAGACATAAATCACAAGACTATACTAAAGCTCAAAATGAACAACTTGTGTAACACACACTATATGCATCACCTGGTTCGTCATATCCATGTAATACAAACGTTGCAATTACGATCAGATGCAACATTCCAAATTAAAAAGCTGTTATATGCTCTGGGTCCCACATTTAAAACTAAATTCAATGAACACATAAAGGTGTCATTGAACTTTCATAGTCCCTTTTGCGCCAAAAAAAAAAAAAAAAAATTCATTGAAAATTTAATAAATCCTAATTTTCAATATATATTTTTGGCAGGTGAGGGTGAATATATTGAGATTAATTGTGTGTGTATTGGAATTGAGTTGTTTAAAATATTAGTAATATAACTGAGTAATTTTAATGTATTTTTTAATTAAAAAAATGGACTTTTATCCACCAAAATAAAAAAAATGGAATTTTGTGTTGGATAAAATTCAATATATATATATATATATATATATTGTACATCCGCGATAGAGAAATAATTTTTGAAATGATTAATTTAATGATGGCTACGACCATTTCAATCCAGAATGAGGTCGTTATAATTTTCATAATATTCGCAATGATGGAAGTAGACATTTGTCTCCATGACTTTAATGTCGCTTAATTGACGTGTATGGGTCTCAATTTTGTGCTTTCAATCAAGGTTCGTCGTGTGTGACCATTTATCCAACAATACATCGATTTTCAATAATACAAAATCTTGAATGCAATGGGACAAGTATCACCTCCAGCAATTAATATAATTACGTATTATTTTTTCAACAATACTTGTTTACTCATAGTGGCTAAGAAGTTCATGTTTATTCATGATTGTGACAAGTGCCTATAAAATATAAAATAATAAAATTAAAAAAATTGAATGCTTACTGGTCAACCCAAAAGGATACAAACCTTCTCTTTCTCTCTCTCAAACTATTCTGCTAAAACAGAAAGTTTGGACTTTTATCTTTCATGATTTAATGTGTAATCCTTACATATATTTATCAATTGTTTTTATTTAAAGTACACCAAATTATATAAAATCCGATTCACATGATTTGATAGATGATTTTTTATTGTAAGTAGTCATCCACAGCTTTATTTGTATCTTGTAATATTATTTTATTTAAAAATTTTAGCTTAAAATATTTTTTTCCGACTAGATACCTTTCTAATTCATTCTCTAGACAAAAAGAGAAAACCAAAGTTGCCTAAGAGATAGGGTTGCCTAAGAGATGGGGAGAGAGGTTAGATTTGGATCATATTGGATTTGTAATGTTTATGGTATATATATGTTTTTTTTTTTTGTGATAGAAAAAAATTAAAGGAAAAGTTAAATTAAAAGTGGTGGGACCCACCACTTATACAAATTGTGGCCAAAAGGCTATGTTGGCCTTTACATTTTCACTCACTCCCGTAAGCTCTTTATCTCTCCCCCTTCTTGATCCATTTTTTTTTCTTTTCAAAACAAAAATTTAATCATTGATTTCTCCTTCATCTTTTGGTATTTTTGGGAGTCGTTTGCAGCAAAACGAAGAGCGCATCGAGATCTACAATTTGATCGGAGCAAAAGTAGTTTTGATGCACTCTAGGGATTTCAAATTTAGGACCCATTTTGAAGATTTTTCTATAAAATTGAGGTAGGGGTTTCTAATTCATATTTTCTTGGATTTTAGTGAATTATCTTTCATTAATTGTTGTAAAGCATGCCTAAATTTTGTGGATTCTTGCAAAGGTGACTTAATTATTATACAAGTGATGTGTGGTTATGTGTTAATTGTTATTTGAGGAGAAAGCATGCTTAAATGATGTATGTAAGAAATGTGATTATGTGTTAGTTGATGTTTTGTGTATAAGCATGCTTATGTGGAATAGAATTTGTGCCTTGTATGTTTACTATGTTAAATCAATGTTGAATGAAAGCATGAATTACGCATTTTGAAATTTATTATGGAAAGCATGTGTGAAATTCAAAAGTTGAATTGTGTTTAGAAGCATGAATCATTCATGCATCCATTGGGAAAGAAAGAGAAAGGGAAAGTGTTTTTTTTAAGTAAATAAAATCATTTTAAGAAAATTGTTTTCGAAAAGTGTTTGCGAAAACCGGACACCTAGGACGCACCTAGTGGTCCGTGGTGTTAGTGTAGTCTAGAGGGGACTAGAGATTGAACTAACTAGGCCGGATGTGACGCCTTGAAGGTGCCTTGTAGTCGTAGATAATTAGTCAATCATCCCTTCGTGACGCCTTGGAGGTGCCTTGGGTCGGATTGCACTAACGATTTGGAAGTTGAAACGGTAATGTTTCAGAAAATAGGGGAGCGATATGGACATGACATTGCACTTCATTGGCATACATGGTATAATTGTGACTTGAATGACAATTGTAGTTATATTTGACGTTGTGGTTATGGATTATATCCCCAGTATAGTATGATCCAATTTTCTTGATTTCTATTCTATACATGGATTCACGGGGTCATAAGAGGTGTGTCTTAGGCACCTCTTATTGAGCGTTTAGCTAACCCCATTATTTAACATTTTTTCAGGATACGGGAAGGAAGTGGCAGACGACGCTCCTCCACATGTCTTGATGGGTTAGTGCACTATTTTGACATACTTTGTAGTTATGATCTCATTTAATTATTATTATTATTATTATTATTATTATTATTATTATTATTATTATTTATTTTTATTTTTTATAAATCCTGGAATAACACGTATAATATGCATTGACATAGGAAAGGACGGTAGTGTCCTTAGTTGACCTCGGGTTCGGGTATGAACCCGGTTAGCGATTCGAACCCACGGGTTCGGGTCGTTACAAATTTGGTATCAGAGTGATGGTTCGAAAACCATTAAGACGACGGGTAGAGGCCTACCTAGGGTTGTGTGGAAGTTGAATTGCATGTTTGCGTGCTTATGTGTTAAGGTGTTTAACTGTTTAAGAAGTATGCTTCCTTGTTTCCTATTTTAATGTGTAATGTTTAATAGACATGCTTATTTGCTAAGTGCTTATGTGTTTAAATGCCGGTATATATAAATGAAGTGTACATGTTATTTAAAAGCATGTTAATTATGATAAGATGACAAGTATGAGGAATGTGGTGACAGCAAGTGGTAGGCACGGTGTGTGCAGTTTCATTTTAGTGATAATATGGCAAATGGTGAGCACGGTATGTGCAAGCACGTTTCATATGGTATTTTGGGTTACAGTCATTTTGTGTATATATATATAATTTAATGTAATTATGTGTATATGCGGTTAAGCATGACATAGTTGTTAGAACGGCAGAGTACTGGATAAAACAGAGATGGTTGTGTGAGTTTTGACCTGAGTAGGTGAGAAGCTCGATTGCTCCAGGGTTTTTGGGTGCCGGTTCTTATTGAACGAATGGCGTGGGCTTCTAGCTCGTGGATTGAGTTATTTGGGGTGTAGCCATTTTGATTTTCTCGATGCATTTTGTACGGAGCTTAGAGCACGACTTTAGAACGGATTCATATTTTATGGTACGGTGTCCGTAGAGTGTGTGAGTTTCATGCATCGGTGGATGGGTTCCTGTGACCGTGGAGGTCAGGTGTGCGAGTGAGGGTTTCGAATGAGAAAGGTATGACCTTAGAAGGTTAGTGTTTGTGACTTGGGTCACAATTTGGTACGGAGGTTCTTTTCGAACCGGTCGTGGTAGGTGTGACAGAAGTTGTTTGAGTCACGAATGTAGTCTATGGGATGTAGATATGTATCTTCTGGAACGGTCTGAGGAGACGTGTTGGTTCTGACTGTCGTGGGTACTTGTTGGATTTTATAAGCCTGGGGTGATATAAGACAAGTTGTAGGGTGTGGAGCATTTTGTGTCTTGTAAGAGTCTGTTTTGAAGACTGGGTTGTTAAGGAGTGATTTTCATTTTGGATAGATGTAGGAGCATGCTACAGGTAATTAACTCTCAGCGAGTTGATTACATGGTTCAGTGAATTAAAGGGGTTATAAGTTGTCACAGTTGTCGAGAGAGTCTCGAGGTAGTGTATAGTGGTTAGTTTTAGTTGTGTAGAGTAGGATTGCACTAGAAGGCAGGTTGTATAAGGTCATTGAAGTGCTCGGTCATTTACGGATGAAGTGATTGATAGTAGGTACGGTGTTACCAAATAGACTGTGTTCTAGGATTTGAAAGCTGTGGACTGGAGTTGGATTTTATGTTATGTCTGAGGTATCAGGAGATTGTGCTTGGTGTTTGAGGATTCGAAAAGGTAGACTGACGATTAGAATGATTGGGACGAGGTTGATTTTATGGGTTTAGTTGTTAGCCCCATTTAACCTTTGTTGGGGCCAAAGGTGTTCTGAGGAACGGCGAAGAGGGGAGGTAATGGTGTTGAACCTAGGGTATTAAGTTTTCTTACTTAGGTATGTAGATCGCCTTAAAAAGAGTGGTTTAAGTAGTTGGTTAAGTATAAGTGATTGATTGCATCGTTGGTGGTTTCAAGGAGAGGTTAGGTGTTGAACATTCTGGGTTTTGTGCCCATTTTTTTTCCTTTTGGGATTTATCGGCATGGCATTACCATATGGAGGTTCTTTTCTAGTGGTAAATAGTGGTTGTTGTGGGAGAGTATCGAGAGTAATGCTTATTCTTTTGTTATGATGTTATTATTTTAAGGATGTTTGAGGAAGAATCACTTGGTAGTGGCTTGATGATAATAGAGGTTCGAATTGTCCTTTGGGAAGAATGGTAATAGAGGTGTTATAGTGTAATGTTTAGCGTCGATGAGCAGAACGGGTTAAGGTATGATTCGAATGTAATTTGGAGATTATTTGTTGTGTATTGTCAGGTAGTTGATGAGATTGTACATCAGTTGAGGCAGTTGGGGATTGATTAGTCTTTAGAGCCAGTGAGGACGACGTTGCCAGATAGGCACCTTTTTCTTTTGACGAGTCAGTGGGTTATTGTAACTGAAGTCACGAGTCTTGTGTGCACGGTGTTCAAGGGAGTGTAGCCTAGAAAGGTAGAAAGGATTAAATGCCGTGGTGTCGTTTCACGATATAAAAGTTATCGGTTGGGGGTGACTGATTCTAGGTAGAACGGGACGTGGTGTCTGAAGAACTGTGATTATTTTTTGTGCTAGTGTGCCGTGAGCGTTGGTGCTCTTACCTAATTGGTTTTGGTTAACGGGGGTATCGTGGTGTATCGTATGCGAGCTTTCTGGGTTAATAGTGTATGATGGTCCGTTAGTGGCGAGGTCGCGTAGAATTGAGTTTGTAGTTACGTACGGTTATCCATTTGGTTCTTCTCTTTATGTGTAAGGAGTTTAGTTCATCTTAGGCGAGATTGGGTGTCCATGGTTGGACAGTGGTGAGTAGTGTGTGATAGGATGTCGGGTGCATTTAGGTACGAGTGGTTAGTCTCTTGTGAGAGCGGGGTCGTTACCCTTTCCATTTGCTCTAGTCCTGGCAAGGACGTCGTTTGTCATGAGTTTTGTTCTTCGTTTACGAGTTGTGAGCGTCCGTGGGAGGATGGATTTATGAGCGGTTTGTTACACTATGAGAGTTCACCGGTAAGGTTTGGTTGTCACTTCCACGGAGGAAGGTAAAGTCTTTGGTTTCTGTAGTGCTTGTTTTAAGAGTGGTTTTGACCAGTAGAATGTGAGGCACGAGTTGCCGAATAGGGATCGTGTTTTCAGTGTTTAATACTGGTGGTGGTGGCTAGGGAATATGTTGTGGAAGACAGATTGAGGATGACTAGGTGATTTGATATGAGTTATGTACTCAGATGTTTTTATAGGCGTTTGATTCGAGCAGTTTCTAGAGGACAAGTGTCGATGTCACCGTAGAACTACGTGATTAAATAAAGTGAATGTGGGATTCCATTGAGGAATAATGGGAATGACTAATTTTGATTTTGAGGTTTCAAGTATGAGACGGTCGAATTATGTGTTTTGAAGAGGTGAGAATTGAACCGAATGATGTTATAAGTTGTTTACCTGGTATGGGTGTAATGAGGAAATTAGAGATCTTTTGTGCTGGTCAATGATTATGGTATTTAGTGTCGTATTGCTTTAAGCTTGTTATGATTGTATGATTAAGGCATGATTGGGATTTTTAGAGTAAGTATGTGACTCTATAGTTGTTGAGGTTGCGTAGAGCGATAGATTGATAATGAGTGGATCTCATGGTTGTTTTGTGGACTGTGTGTGACTGTGTTTGAGGTTTAGACCTTAGGACAGGAATGACGTTTTTGCTGAGATCGGATCGAGGATGAGGATGGCCTGGCCAACCATTTCTCTTGAATTAGTCCCTCTTTAGCACGATGTTGGGTCAAAGGTTACTGATTGTTCGATTTATCAGGAAAGAGTATAGTATTGCGCAATGTGTTGGTGTGACAGGGTGGATTCAGATGGTTAGTCTCGGGTGACAATGTGTGCTAGGTAGGACTAAGTGTCCGATAACAGGTTTATGGTACAATCATTAATTATTGAGGATCTCATTTTGAGGATTTGTGTCCAGGATATAGGATAGTACGTTTTATTATTCTGGTGACTCATGATTATGTAGTCGTTGGGAAATCTGTTGTTTTGTCTTCTTGAAATTGTCTAGTGTAATAATTGTTTAATGGTGCAGTTGATGGTTACTTGTACCAATATGTAGTGGTGTAGCTGTGTGTTAAGTGGGAGTGCTTAGTCTAATAGGGACGTGTAGATTGAGTTTGAGCTTGATTGTGTGATGGATGGGGTTCCTTGTCTGGGATTTTGTGTGTCTTTTAAAGGATGGGCTGAGATAGGATATTGTCATATTCAGGGGTCTTGTAACCATTCTTCTTTCGAGCTATGAAGCCTTGTGTAGCGGTGTAGGGGGGGACCAATGTTGGTTTTAAATCGAGTGTAGAATCCAGCAGGTTTTATGTATAATGTTGTGAGTGATGTTGTGAGTACCCTCATAGGGTGGTGAGCAGTGGGTTTTTCTGACGACAATGTATGATTGCCTATTTGCATCGGGTGTCAAAGGCAACAAGGTTGTTGAGTTTTTAGCTCTGCGATTTTGTGAGGTGTTCTCGGGAAGGTGTGTGGTTGTGAGCCTTCTTCTTTAAGGATGGTAGATTTCGAGGACGAAATCTTTAAAGGAGGGTAGATTGTAATGTTTATGGTATATATATGTTTTTTTTTTTTTTTGGTGATAGAAAAAAATTAAAGGAAAAGTTAAATTAAAAGTGGTGGGACCCACCACTTATACAAATTGTGGCCAAAAGGCCATGTTGGCCTTTACATTTTCACTCACTCCCGTAAGCTCTTTATCCCTCCCCCTTTGTGATCCATTTTTTTTTTTTTTCAAAACAAAAATTTAATCCTTGATTTCTCCTTCATCTTTTGGTATTTTTGGGAGTCGTTTGCGGCAAAATGAAAAGCGCGTCGAGATCTACAATTTGATCGGAGCAAAAGTAGTTTTGATGCACTCTAGGGATTTCAAATTTAGGACCCATTTTGAAGATTTTTCTATAAAATTGAGGTAGGGGTTTCTAATTCACATTTTCTTGGATTTTAGTGAATTATCTTTCATTAATTGTTGTAAAGCATGCCTAAATTTTGTGGATTCTTGCAAAGGTGACTTAATTGTTATACAAGTGATGTGTGGTTATGTGTTAATTGTTATTTGAGGAGAAAGCATGCTTAAATGATGTATGTAAGAAATGTGATTATGTGTTAGTTGATGTTTTGTGTATAAGCATGCCTATGTGGAATAGAATTTGTGCTTTGTATGTTTACTATGTTAAATCAATGTTGAATGAAAGCATGAATTACGCATTTTGAAATTTATTATGGAAAGCATGTGTGAAATTCAAAAGTTGAATTGTGTTTAGAAGCATGAATCATTCATGCATCCATTGGGAAAGAAAGAGAAGGGGAAAAGTGTTTTTTTTAAGTAAATGAAATCGTTTTGAGAAAATTGTTTTCGAAAAGTGTTTGCAAAAACCGGACGCCTAGGAGGCGCCTAGTGGTCCGTGGTGTTAGTGTAGTCTAGAGGGGACTAGAGATTGAACTAACTAGGCCAGATACGATGCCTTGGAGGTGCCTTGTGGTCGTGGATAGTTAGCCAATCCTCCCTTCATGATGCCTTGGAGGTGCCTTGGGTCAGATTGCACTAACGGTTTAAAAGTTAAAACGGTAATGTTTCAAAAAAATGGGGAGCGACATGGACATGACATTGCACTTCATTGGCATACATGGCATAATTGTGACTTGAATGATAATTGTGGTTATATTTGACGTTGTGGTTATGGATTATATCCCCAGTATAGTATGATCCCATTATCTTGATTTTTATTCTATATGTGGATTCACGGGGTCATAAGAGGTGTGTCTTAGGCTTCTCTTACTGAGCGTTTAGCTCACCCCATTATTTAACATTTTTTCAGGATACGGGAAGGAAGTGGCGGACGACACTCCTCCACAAGTCTTGATGGATTAGTGCACTATTTTGACATACTTTGTAGTTATGATCTCATTTAATTATTATTATTTTTATTTTTTTATTTTTTTATAAACCCTGAAATAACACGTATAATATGCATTGACATAGGAAAGGACAGTAGTGTCCTTAGTTGACCTCGAGTTCGGGTATGGACCTGGTTAGCGATTCGAACCCACGGGTTCGGGTCGTTACAGGATTTAATCCAAATAACCTCTTAAATCTTTTAATTTTTATTATTTTATATTGTAAGGACACGTGTTCCACTAATTTTGTGCCACATCAAAGTAAGTATGAATTTCCTACTATGAATTTCCTACTCACCGATAAGTGGGCAAGTATTGTCCTTATTTTTTTATCACATGTCTAGTATGGTAATCTTAAGTTGGATTCGTTACGGATTGACATATAATTTTTAAAATCTATCTACTGCTTGTGTTAAAAACTAATTTAAAGAAAGTTTGAAAACCTTGCCGTTTTGAGATAAATAAAAAATTACCTAAGTTTGACGACGTTAACGTTCTCTCTCCCTCATCTTTTTCCAAAAGAAAATTATTCCCTCTTTCTCTCTCCTGTTGCTTATTCCCACAATTGGGAGAGTGTTCGACGCCAAAAATATATGTTTTTTCTCACTATTTATATATGTGTGTTCACACATTTTTTACTGACTTCCACCCAAACAGATAAAGGCAATAATCAAGCCATTGCTCTAATGTCAACCCTAAAACTTGAAGTGTTTACAAAATTCCAATCAAACCAAACAAAGAAACATGATCATACATATTTTCTTTTCAACCCCTAAAATATTTAGTGTATATAAATTCAAAATCAAAAAGAATAAACATGAATACAAAAATAGTGAGAAAGAACATTTATTTTTGGCACAAAATATTCTCCCAATTATGGGAATGAGCAAGAGGAGAGAGGGGGGGATCTTTTTTTAAGAAAAAATGAGAAAGAGAGGATGACGTTAACGTCTAACAAGTATGGTGAATTTTTCTTATTTTAAAACGGTACAGTTTTTAAGTTTTGGTAAATTTTTTTTATCTCAAAATGTATAATTTTTTGAATTTTTTTTAAATTAATTGACGTAATTTAAAATAGATAATAAATAAATTTTAAATGTTATACGTCAATTTACAATGAATTTGACTTCAGGTAACTAATAAAAAATTTAACTTGGGGATCTAAATCCAAAAACTAATCTTTCATTACAAACGTGAAATAGCCAATAAAAGCTGGTTACTCCAATAGATTGATGATACAATTGACTTCTATTTTGTCTTTCTGTTCCATCCAAATATCACACGCACTACATTCAGTCACTGTCTTCTTTGTAACCAGCTTTAAGGCATAAATGTGTTTTTTTATATATATATATCCATCTTGGCTCGTAACGTTAGATGGATCGTAACGTTTTACCTAATTCTTCTCTATAAATTCTTTTGCCAAAAAAACCTCTCAATTAACCAAGGGGTGTTATTTTTATTAAAATACTCTCATTAAGTCAAATCAATAGTGATTTTATTACATTTCAAGGTGTGAATTTCTATGAAACATGTTTCTTTCTCTTAAATAATAATAGTTGAATTTATGCATTATGTTACATGTAGCGCTATAGTTTTAGTTAAATATATATATAATTCAGTTATTAGTGTAACTATTATTATTTTTTTTTATCACGTCTAGTATAGTAAAATCCCACAATATCATTTATCCTTATATTTTAAAATTATTCAGCCAAACAAAATAAGAGAAAACCTGATTATTTTATTTCATTCAATTACTTTTTGTAATTAAAATTTAGGGAAAAAATCACATAACCTCCTTGTACTATCATTTTCGTCCAAAAAGCCCCTACTAAAATTAAATACCCCCTGAACTAACAAAACCCATTAAGTTGCCCCCAAATGACAAAACTATCCTTATAAGTTAATTGTTAAATTTACAACTAATAATATTATTATAAAATTACAAAACTACCCCTGAGTTGTCACATATAACTAAGGCACATGAAACAGATTCAGAGAGAGAGGGGTTGAGTACGAGTCATTACCATTTCCTTGGGAGGGATCGCCGGAGGAGCTGAAAGAGTGATGGTGGCCGGCGAAAGGAGAAGTGGCCACCGAATAGATCGAAAAAGCTTTGCAAATTTCGACCACGTCCCCGGACCGGCGTCGATCTTTAAGAGAGTGCTGCAGCGGTGGGCTTCTTGATAAAATACCCCCCACACCTCCCCTTCCCTGTTCATCTATGTTTATTTATATATATATATAAGCGTGTGTATTGTCTTTATATATATAATCGTAATACCAAACTACTTTGTACCATAGACATAAGTTCAAGCAGTGGTGATTGTGAAGAACACAGCGGTTGAATTAATGGTATCTAATAATCAAGCTCAACATCAATGAAGCGTTCTACCATAGAATTAAGTTCAAGCTTTAATATATATCCACAACACCTGTATATAATTCCACCTTAATCCTTTCTCAAATCATATATCATTGCGAAGAAACCAAAGTTTTAAAACACAATCAAGTTTGCAACCCAAATTTAATGTTCGTAAAGCTTCGACCATCCACGGAAATTTCCATCCACCTCCTCTCTCTCTCTGTCTCTACAAATTGCCCTTAGGGTGGCTCAGTTCTTAATTCTCACCTGCTAACCACTTCCATGTCATCAACCACCACCGCCGCCAACGACCTCTACCAATGGGATCCGACAAACTCTTCTTATATCTCACCATCTTTACTTAGTTTCTCTCTCTACAAAATATACAGATGTCTTTTGGGTGTTGCTGGTTTGGTGTTGCCTGCCTCTGTTCCCTTCTTCCCTTTAAAACGTAATTAATCCAACTGTCTAATTAATCCCACCTCTTCAGCAATTCTATGTTTCATTCAATTAATTGATAGGTTCGGTCCCTTCGTGACTCGCCAAAATGCCCTCCAATAAAACTAGAAGAACAACTGTGAAACAATGAAACTAGAAGAATGATTAATTGTATACATGTTTGTGTATATATATTACAACATATGTCGAAATATTGACTGATTATGAGCTCTAGGCTGCCTCTTGTTGATCTAGTAATTCAATGTTAATGTCTAATGGTTGCGATTGATTAGATTCATGTGATACACCTAGATTCTAGAGCCACGGGTGATCAAGTCCGAGCACAGATCCGAGGGATACCAAACAATCAATATATAAACAAGCAGGAATAAAACTGAATTAAGATTAAAATAATAACAAACAGAAAGAAAACTAAAATGAAAATCCTCAAACCTTAAATAATAAATTAATATAATTTAAATCCGTACAACTCGGGAATCCACCTAGTGGACCCCTAATTCCAAATCTTTAAATAAATTTACAGAATTAAAATCCAAAACCAAAATAGAAAGGAAATCCTATGTAACTGGAAAAGTGAGTGTCTGTATCTACATCAACTCGATCAAACTCTAAGCCTGGTATTGGCGAATACCTGAAAAATAGGAGTGGGTCAGGCCCACATGCAAGTTCCAATCTATTACAATCCGTACATAAACTCGATACGCAGATACATCCTAGATAGCTTGGCAATATCTACAATAGTCCATGTATATATATACACACACACTATAGGATGCTCACTAGCCTATAATATAGTTTAGCCTGGGTAGAAGGTGACATATAAAACACGCTTTTTAGCGGCCAAGTACCTAGACCTACCAGGGAACATTAGTTATATCTAGCTACTCAACCTTTGCAATATACGCACCCTAACCGTGATCAGGAGACTCAAGCTCATATCACGGTACCATAAGTAAATATATAAATTCCTTCCTAGTGCAGAAAGATAAAACAAATATCCATTATGTCGTTCAACTGTTTTAGTTGACAGGACATGCATCCATGTAGGATTTAACTGTTTTAGTTAATCCATTCCTTATGTATGAAGGGGTAGAACTTAACTTTTTTATCTAATCCATCCCTGATATGTCACCGTCCCATACCGGTACATATAATGCAAATGATCCTTGAATGATGCAACATTTTATGCAGTTCATCAAATCATATCCACGTAATCCAAATAGTTGATATACAGAATTTAAACAGTTCATCAACTTGAAAATTCAGAATCTATCCATGTAATTAACGAGACAAAGTTTAATAGTTCATCAAGTTAAGATCCAGTATCCATCCATATCATTGATAATTGAATTCCTTTAATTAAATTTCAACTAACCCATAGTACAGTCCAGCAGATGACAATATTAACAATAGTAAGATTCAATTATAAAGCTGAGAATGACAAACTATAACTCAAAAAATCCACAGTACTAACCAATAGTTGCTGAAACATATAGAACAGTTTAACCATTAAAATAACAATCTCCATTTAATTAATGAAACCTAATTTATTAGTTCCTTAATTAAAATCCAACCTATGCACAAATAAGGTCCAATAGATACATAACCCTATTCTGTATCTAACATAGATTTCAAAACCATCCTCCAGTCATCTAAGTTGCTAAATTAAATTTACACAACTAGATACCTTACAATCGCCAACAAAGTGCGTCATTACTTAAAACTCCCAAACTGTGAAAACCTTTAGCATATTAGAATAAATTATGCATTATGGGTCCTAATATAGCATAATAGCATGTTTAGATTCCATGCAACAGTCTATTAAATTTTTAAAACAAAACTTAGCGCACTAGTCCTTCCTATCCGTTAACAGCGTACAAAGTCACTTATTTTTACACTGTTTATTCCATTTGCCCAATGGACCAAATTATACACTTAGATGGTTTAACATCCCTTGAAATTACTTTTAGAATTTTCATTCCAGTCCCTGAAACCATTTAAAATCCCAAACATGGCCCAAAAGTGCCCAAACAAATTCCAGAACGCACCTAAACAAGACCCAACCAAAGGAACCTGTTCTAAAAACCAAGAGCATGCTCTTTTTACCTTAGAGCCGGCTCCCTAACCTCTTGGAGCCGGCTCTATGAAGGGGGAGCCAGCTCCCACAATCTGGAGCCTTCTCCTCTCCTATTTTGAGCCTTCTCTATTCCTTTGTTCGTCTTCTTCTTCCACGGCGAACCTCAACCGTCTGTTCTCAGTTTTTTTTCCTAAAGTTTTCAGAGTTCAAACAAGGCCTAAATAGCCCTAAAAATTCTTTGAATTCCATTATAAATTGATTTACAGAGGTTTAAATCCGAATCGAAGTAATCTATACAAGAAAGCAAACACAGTTATACACAAAACGTAGAACATATTTCAATTTAATTCAT